AATGTTTAGAACCCCAATGGATTTCTCCCATTGAAGATGCTCTAACAATTATTTGATACTTCATTAGATGCTTCAGTAATTAACATCAGCTAACCTTCTTTTTTTTATTCTCTCATGTGGTTTATATGCATTTTATTCATTTGTTTTTATATTTATATTCATTTTACATATTTTCAACTTTTGAAATTTAAATAAGTAAACAACTATCTTTGTCATAAACTAATAGTGTTTATACTACTCTCAAATGGAATACAATATAAGTGAATATAGCTTTGTTATAATTTAATATTTACAACAATAAAATACTCAAATATTCTTGTATATATGTAGTACTTTTGAACATTTATTTACTTATATTCGTTTTTAATTTGATACAAACTTTTAGTAGTTGTAAGTAACAATTAATATACAAACATGAATTAAATTAAGCATTTAAAATAATTTTATTGTTAAAAATATATTTTGCTTAAGTGGACATCCTAGATGTAGAGAGAACTCCCTAGTTATATAATAGATTTGGTTTAACTTATTTTAGCGGGCTTATTTTTATTGTATATGTACTTGTGATGAATTTTCTTATGCTACTATGTTTTAGTGTTTAATAAATTTAGTGAACTACATTTGAATTAGTGGATTACACTTGAATTAAAATTGGATAGGGGTCAATATTTTGTTTTGGTTGGGGTCAACGTAAAAATATTTAACATAAATTAAACCAATTTTGAAAATTATATGGGTGTCAATTGACCCCCCCTTATTACATACTACCTGATGCATCCTCCAAATCCGATATCCCCGGGGCCGTTCCACCTTGGTCTATCCCCACAATGAGGTCCAAACCCATGACGCGATCAGGAGCCCGAACCTTGCAAGAGAACGTCAACGACGCGGTAAAGGCTTTTCTAGCTCAGGACGACGTGGACTTAGCAGCCCGGCCCGCTCAAGACCAGCCCGGCCCAACCCGCCAAGAACACTTGCAACGGACACTTACCTATTTCGGAATATCGCGCATTGAAGACTAAGGCTCCACCCGATCTGGCGCGATCCAACGGCTCTATCCCACTAAGGTAAGTTTTGATTTATTTTAATTATNNTTGATACTAACNATTNCTTATTTGAANTTGTCNTGNNATTTCTTTCCTTAAGTAGCGTAGGGCATTTGTTTCGCCGATTGTGTTTTAATTAGTTAGATGTCGATCTTTGTAATAAATGTCAAGACCCCTAGAAGGGCATAGCTGATCAGACGAGTATATAAGTCCCCTAACAGCCTTGTAAATTTTCACCCTTGATCAATAAAGCAAAAGCATTCTTCTTAAAGAATTCTTCTTGAACAACCTTCGAAATCCGGGATTTCTAGTTGTTCGCTCCNTCAGTATCGAGNTGTTTCCATCCGGCTCGTGGTGACTTCGTTCCATNCTCGCNTCCACTCGTTCATCTCTTTGTCCGTAGTGAAAGCGNCNTACGGCCANCACTCNGATCCGCCTATCGCTTCGCTTCCATCGTTCATCGCTACCCGACTCGCAACAGGTGCCGTACGGCCGGTTCGAGCCATCCATCCTCCACGTAACCTCTATTTGTGAGGCTGCATCACTACCTCTGCCACTGTATATGTTGAAGATGCATCTATTCAAGCATCTCTCAGTCGAGAAATACTACAGAAAGTGCTACAATTGACTAGGTTGAACATCAAATAATGTGAACTTGAATAGATGGGTTGGACAAGGCGATTCAAACTGATGTGGACAAGCCTAGATATTGTAGCTGAGTTGGATAAGCATATTAAAAAGGATCAAGAGGCAATGGAGATTTTCCTTAGTTTTGCCTAAGAATAAGAAAAGGTTGGATATCATTGGAGATTTGATATCGTCTCAACTTGGAGACCAATGCTAAGTATAACCGTTTTCATGTTTTGTATAAAAAAGAGTGCGTTAGCTTCGTAGAGCTTTAACACAATTGAGAGCATATGTAATTTTTTAGCAAAAAGGTTAAGGATTGTCTTGTAAGAGATCTTGATCAAAAGCCTAAGGGGTAGAGAGAGATTCACTGATCACGTATAGATCTGTAACGTGCAAGGCTAGATTGAAGTTGGTGAGTGGAACTTGTAAGTACACTTAACGTTTGATCTAGTAATGAATTCTTGAGAAACGAACCTTGTGTTATTGTGTTAGTTTCTTATAGCGGGCACTTGTCTGAATTATGTACATGTGAGATCATGTAGAGAAAATGGAAAGCTACTAAGGTCTAATAAACAGTTCAAGAGTAACATAATATTGGATTCAGGAAAATATGGATTATGGAAGTCAGTACCTCCAATCAAGAACTTTATCCTCGATTTCCAGAATCCATACTTTCCTTAATCAAATATTATATTACTCTTGAACTTTTGATTACACCTTGGTAGGACAAGTGTCTGCTCCGATGCCAAATGAAAATGCAACATCTACTTCTACAGTAAATGAACACAATAACGCAAGGGTTCTTTTCTCAAGAAATCATTACTAGATCAAATGTTATGTGTACTTACAAGTTCCACTTACCAACTTCAATATAGCCTCACACGTTCATAGATCTATAAGTGATCAGTGAACCTCTCTCTACTCCTTAGCTTTTGATCAAGATCTCTTACAAGACAATCCTAAACCCTTTGGCTAAGATATATGCTCCCAATTGTGTTAAAGCTCTACGAAGCGAACACACTCCAACTTATACACCATAGAAAAATGGCTAAATCTAGCCTTTGTCTCCAAGTTGAAAAGATATCGAATCTCCAACGATATTCAACCTTTCCTTATTCTTAAGCAAGACATAAGGAAAATCTCTATTACTTCTTGATCATTTCCAAAATTCTTATCAAGCTCAACTACAACATCTAGGTTCGTCCACATCAGTTTGAATCGTCTGGTCCAGCCCATCTCTTGAAACCCACATTGTTTGATGTTCAATTTAGTCTGTTGTAGCACTTTCTATAGTACTTTTCGAATGGTACAAAAGATGCTTCAATAGATGCAATTTCATATGTATCTAAGTCTTTTTAGCTCTTAACTCGAGCTACATATACAACCTTATATATTTTTTGTTAATATGCTTGACCGGAACCAAGAGTGATTTAACTTGAAACACCTCTTTAACACATCTTTTACATTATACAATATGTTCTAAACTTCTAGCAATCTACTAGGATAATCGCATCTTTTTCAGTTTTTCGTTTATATAGTCACCTGAAGCAATAAGTATAGATAAATCTAAATGTAACTTGTACATAATTTGATGGTAAACGACAATCATGATAATAGTTATAAAATAGGTCACATTTTTCAATAACCTCATTTTAAGAAATTTTTGATAGTTTTCAACGGATAAAAAAATATATAAAGATCTAACTGGAATTGATAGGTCGTCAGTGATTAAATCTCGTGTCACTATAGAATCTCACTGTGTTGGTTCAAATTTCTATGTAAGATGTTAAAAAGTGGTCTAAACCCACTAAAGTAGTTGAAAACAAAATAGGAGGATCGAGTTTTCCCATCCAATTTTCTCCATGTAGAAAAACTATTCTCTTTTGAAAATACTCGGATCCCTTTAAACAATAATTCAGTGTAGTGAAGAAATGGACGGAGAGGGATTTTTGGGAAGCATGAGATTTTTTTTTTTATTATTAATATTTCTTTAACGAATGTTCAATAAAGAAACTTTTGTGAGAGGAAATAAAAAAAACCGATGTGGGCCATTATCTTACTTCCACTAACATTATTCCAAACTTATAAAAATATATCTGTCCCAAGATTTTTTTTCTCTTGTCCAATCAATATATGCATACTAACAGATTACTCTCTCTTATTCGTGGAATCTAATTATTCCCTTTCAAAAAATAGAATAGCTAAAAAAAGAAAGAAACAAAAGCTCCTTTTCGCTATAATTAAATCGTTTTTTTTCTCCCTCTCTGAATCAATGAAGACTACATACTTGAATTATAGAACCCTACATTCTTCTACAACGAATATATAACTAAATATATCTTATCTTTATACATACTACTATAACAAAAATCAAATAAAAAGGACTCCGCTAGATACGTTTTGAAATATGTTTCGTGTGAAACCAAAAAAATACATGTCAAAACTCAATAGCTCTTACATATATATATCCATCCCTATATATGCATGGATCTTCAATTACACATTATTTTTAACTAGTGATACATATATCTAAAAAAAATACAAATGGACAACACGTTTCACTTGTCGTCCATTAGTTTTTTCTTCCCTCTTCAATTCGTTTAAATTTGCGATGATTTATCTTATCAGCAATCAACGTATATATAGGTTAAAATATACGTCAACGAAAATCTAATAAAAGTC